AGAATATGTTTTAAATAAAATATTGTATATATAAATTATACCTCATATTATTAATAATTTTTAATTTTATTTAAAAATTTGTAAATACTTTTCAATTTTCTAGGCAAATTTGTCTGGAATACGGTTTAAGGAATAATCCCTACTACCTTACATGTAATAGAGTCGTCGGATGACACTCTATTGTTGAGTACTAATTGGTTTCAAAAAACCAAAGCTAGAATCCACTTTGACGAACAAAAATTATATCTACAATATGCTGATAAATCAGCAGAAATTACTATATCAAATAGTAGTACCGAAGGTCTAAGACCATATGAAGAAGATAAACTTCAAAGCGATAGCGGCGATATTTTTAATGAATTCGACTATGAAGAAGAAGAATTCGAAGAGTTGGAAAGTTGACTCTTAATTAATGAAGAAAATCTAGCGATGTACCTTACAAATATAGAAGAAGTACCTATAAAGAAAAATGAAAAGGATAAAAATAAAGAAAAATCAGTAAAAGAATTAATAGAAGAAATAGCAGACAATGAAGAATTAACTCTTCAATAGCAATTAAAAGCAAAAGAAGTTTTACTTACAGAAGAAACCTTATTCACACAGAGTATAGAGAATATGGGCCGTACTAATGCAACTACCCATAGCATTAATACAGGAGATGCTATTCCAATAAAACAAACATATTATAGAACAGCCTATAAGGAAAATGAATTCATTAGGAAAAAAATTAATAAACTAAAGAAACAAGAGCTTATTATAGAAATAAACAGTCCCTGGTCATCTCCAGTAGTTATAGTACCAAAGAAAAATGGGAAACTACGCTTTTGCATAGACTACCGAAAATTAAATTTGGTTACTAAAAAGGATACATATCCTTTATCCCTTATTAACGATCTCTTAGATACCTTTGAGACGGCTCAATGGTTTTCTACTTTGGACTTAATAAGCAGGCATTGGCAAGTTGCAATAAATGAAGCAAACATAAAAAAAACAACATTCATAACTAAATATGGTACTTATGCCTTCAAGGTTATGCTGTTTGGTTTTTGTAATGCACTGGGAACTTTCTAATGGCTAATGGACACAATTCTTGGAGATTGTATTGAAAGATTTGCTGTAGTATATCTTGATGATATTAATATATATTCAAATTCTTTTGAGGAGCATCTAGAACATTTAAAAATTATATTTAGTAAATTAAAAAAAGCCAAGTTAAAATTAAACCTGGAGAAGTGTACCTTTTTCAAATCTGAAATTAATTATCTGGGACATGTAATTAATAAAGATGGGGTAAGACCAGATGAATCTAAAGTTGAAAAGGTTAAAAATTTTCTGATACCAGAAAATCTTCACCAATTAAGAGGATTTATAGGATTAGCATCCTATTATCGTCGGTTTATCAAAGGATTCGCTACGATAGCTCGACCACTCCATAAATTACTGGAAAAAAATATTCTCTACAAATGGAAGGATAGACAACAAGTGGCATTTGAAACATTGAAAAGACATCTAATGATGGCATCCATTTTAAGGTACCCAAATTTTAAAGAAGAATTCTTATTATATACTGATGCATCCGGTATAGGATTAAGAGCTATCTTAGCTCAAAAAGACAAAGACCACAAAGAATATGTGATTGCATATGCAAGTCGTGGTCTATTAAAGACTGAATGAAATTATTCAGCTCCAGAAGTAGAATGTTTACCATTGTATGGGCTATCGAACACTTTCACTATCATTTAGAAGCAAAACACTTTACTCTAATTACGAACTATGCCGCTCTTAAATGGTTACATACCTCAGAACCCAAAGGGAAAAGGGCCCAATGGATCTTAAGGTTACAACTATATAATTATTCTATAGTACACCAGGCTGGTAGGAAACATTCTAATGTAGATGCATTATTACGAATGTATCTATGAAAGAAGAAGATAAAAGAAATGAATAAATGTGAGATTAATTTATAGAGTTTAAAAAAAAAAAAAAAAAAAAAATTTTGAACCAAAATAAGAAAAAATTACACAAATTAGAAAAAGGTACTCTGCCTATAATTCACTATAAGCATGAAAAATTAAAGGTACTCTGCCTATAATTCGCATATTGCGTGAAAAAGAGGGTGTGTTCAGACCCATAATTCGCTTAATAAACCTGGTACTGGCTGGGTTAGCTACTATAATAAGTACTGCGTGAGACTTGAACCTAGTTAGTGTAATCTAGAAAAACAAATTAGTTCAATTTTTTTTTTTTAATTAAATGAATATATAAAGTATATTAAAAGTATTAAATAATAAATTATACTTAAAGACTTAATTAAATCTGACTTTAAAGATTAATCTAGTCCAGGTGGTCGGTGTTCTGGCAAAACAAGATGAAATTTCTTCGCTATCAATTGTTAAAAACGTATCTTACAGATTATACATTGCCCCAAAAGATAACACCACAGGAATGACAAAGTATACAAGCTCAAAGTAAATTTTTCGAAGTTAAGAATGGCCTAATATATAAGAAAGACAAACATAAAACAAATCATTTATTAAGAGTAATTCAAAAATATGAAGTTGAACCAATTTTATTTTTGGTTCATACTCATCTATTGGGAGGATATTTTGGAATTAATATAATGTTCAACAAAGTGAAGGCTAAATACTACTGGCCCCAAATGTACAATGATATTCGACAATTTGTTCGTATCTGTGATTCCTGCCAAAGAAGAGGTAAAAATTTAGTAAAACCGCCATTATATCCAATTCCAGTCGAAGCTCCATTTTATAAAATTGGAATAGATATAGTTGGAAAATTACCTATGACTCCAAAAGGTAATAAATATATTGTAGTTGCTACAAACTACATGACCAAATAGCCAGAAGCTAGAGCAATAAAGAATGCTAATACTCAAGAGGTGGCAGACTTTATCTATGAAAACATCATGTGTCGACATGGATGTCCACAATATCTTCTATCTGACCAAGGGACTCATTTTCGCAATAATCTAATGAATGAATTTTTAAAGAAATTCACCATTACCCACCATTATTTGACACTCTACCATCTTCAAATGAATGGATTAGTAGAGCAATTCAATAAAACACTTTGTGAATCTATAGCAAAATTAGTCACAAATGTAAGAGAGTGGGATTCGATCATACCTTCGGTACTCTTTGCCTATAGAACCCTAAATAAAGTACAATGAAGATAACTCCATTATTCTTAGTATATGGAAGAGAAGCCCGATTTCCTTTTCATCCTGATGAAAATGAAGAATTGTTAGAAGGAACATTTCTTTAAAGAATTTTTGAATTAGTTGAAATACTACCTAAAGTAAGAAATGATGCTGTTAGAAAAGTCGAAAAAGTACAAGAAAGTGCTAAAAGAAGACATGATCAAGACTTACAGCATATAGAAGAATTTAAAAAGGGTGACTTAGTATTAGTTTATAAGGCTTCTCAACAACATTCTAAAAGTCATAAGTTACAACTCTCCTCGACGATCACTTGGACCACTCTCCTCACAGAAAGGAAAAGTAGAAAAAGTTTACTGGAGAGTCATGTAGCTACAGGACGGTTTGTAGTGAGGTCATAGTGGAATCCTTGCTATGTTCAGCATACAAGCCAGAAGCTAAAAACCAGATTTGTAAAGGGTGAAGCGATATTTTTCGCAAGCAGGTGGCGCCCTGCACGAAGTGAAGTATAATTCTGGTAGTATTTTTATTACCATCGACGAAGTTTTGTAGACTATAGTTTGAGAGGGGTCTTGGTTGTTTTTAGAGAAGTCAACGACTGCTTTGGGACTCCTCTTTATATCTAACATGCAAGCCAGAAGCATAAATGCAAAAGAGAAAAATGCAGGCGGCATTTGCTATTGCGTATAAATTTTGGTAGAAGAAATTCCGTTAGCGAAGCCTTTAGGACTCCTTGAGAACTCAGGGATACAGTAAATTTTGAAACTTTTTGGTTTCAAGCCGTACTTTTTTATCCTATACAAGTGGTCTTCTTTACTACACTCTTGCGTTGCTGCCGATCTTCCAAAATTTTCGACAAAAAGTGGGGATTTGGCTTACCTCCTCCAAACAATTGGCATAGGTTACATGGTGTTTACATTCCCATATCTGGCTGACATGGTAGATGGCAATCACGTGTCTGGCATAAGAGGACATGGTGCTACCGGTTTTGGCTCGGGGCCACAGGAGACTGAAGAGTCGGTGTGGAATGATGACAGTACCTGATTAGAAGAACTCGGGCGAAGACTTCCAGAAATAGTAGGGTCAGAGAGAAATTAATAGTATAG